AAAAATTAGCCAGGTGTTGTGGTGGGTGCCTGTAGTTGCAACTACTTGGAAGGCTGAGGCAGGAGGATTGCTTGAGCCCAGGGGATTGAGCTATGATGATGCTACTACACTCTACCCTGGAAAACAGAGTAGAACTCTGTCCTAAAAAAAAAAAAAAGAAATAGATTCACTGTGTGACTGCTGTGTGGCTTGACCTAGAGACTAGATGGCTTTTCCTTGGCATGCAATGCAATGTGGGTCTTAAGTGCCCCCACGTATGTGAATCTCCGTCCACACTCATCACAAGAAAAAGGCCTCTCCTCACAATGATGGGATAGATGGGCCTTCAAACTTCTCTTTTGTCGGAAGCCCTTGTCACACTCAGTACACCAGAAGGGCCTCTCTCCAGTGTGAAGCCACATATGCTCAGTGAGATGTGAGCGTCGGCGGAAGCTCCGGCTGCACTCAGCACAGGAGAATGGCTTTTCTGTGCTGTGGATCTTGAGGTGCTGTGTGAGGGCCGACTGCCGAGAAAAGGCCTTTTTGCACTCTCTACAGGGGAATTCCCTCTGACCATTGTGAACTCTGGCATGGCAGGCGAGCTTAGAGGGTTCCGTGAACCTCTTGCCACACTCCTCACAGGAGAATGGCTTCTCACTATGCAGACGCTGGTGGGTCTTCATGGCATGCCTCCAGAAGAAGCTCTTCTTACACTCTGGACATTGGAAGGGCTTCTGTCCACTGTGCTGCAATCGATGGGCTTTTAGGCTTCTCTTTAGGCGGAAACTTTTATTACACTCGGGACATGAAAAGGGCTTCTCTCCTGTATGAACTCTGATATGCTCACTGAGTTCCACCTTGTAGATGAATTTCCTGCCACAATCACCACAAGAAAATGGCTTCTCTTCACTACGTGTCCTTTGGTGGGTCTTCAAAGTAGCCTGCCGAGAAAAGTTTCTGTCACACTCTGGATAGTGGAAGGGCTTCTTCTCACTGTGCTGGAAAAGATGGAACTTCATCCTTCTCTTCAGGCGGAAGCTCCTGTCACACAGTGGACACTGGAAAGGCTTTTCCCCACTGTGCAGCCGGAGGTGCTCAGTGAGCTCCCACCGCACGAAGAAAGCCTTGCCACACTCCTTACAGCAAAATGGCCTTTCTCCTTTGTGCAAATACAGATGCCTCTTTAAGTTTCCTCTATACCGGAAGGTCTTGTCACATTCAGGGCAGGGGTAGGGCCGCTGTCCTGTGTGGACGACCTGGTGAGCAACTAGGCTGTCCTTTAGACTGTAGCTCTTCTCACATTCATTGCACTGGAAGCGCTGCTTCTTATAAAGGAATTTCTGGCTCCACTTGAGTTCAGATTTCCCTCTGGATTTGTTCTTGTGGTTTACCAAGTCACTCTTCACTGGGAAGACTTTCTCACAGACATACCAGGAATACAATCTTGACTCTGCTGGAATTTCCAAATGACCTAATGTATCTGGAAGCTTATAACACTGCTCTTTCTTTTCCTGGTTAGAAGCTGTGACATTGAGTTTCTTGTGTAGAGTCTCTGTTTCTTGGAGACTTGGAGAGTGGAAGGTAGGTCTTTGCTCTGATGAAATCTCTCTATTCTTCTCTAATAAGGTAGCACTCAAGTCATTCTTTTGAAGACCATTTAAATGGGATTCCTTTTCTTTTGTCCCCAAAGTTCCTTGGTGACCTGGAGAAGAAAAAAAAAGTACGACTCTCATCAGTGGTATGGCAACGCTACAGTGCAATTCAAGACTGCCTTCACATCACTAACGAAGTGGGAAAGAGAATCTCATTGATGTCAATGAGTTTGTGAATCTACCTCCCACAGATAAATTATACTTCACTTTTACCAAATACATCTTGTAAACTACAAATAACCCTCATAGGATAAGCAGGAGTCAGAGACAATTAACTGTCATATTTAGACTGTATTATAATACAGTCATATTTAAACTGTATTATAGAGACTACAGTCATGTGTAATCTGACTGTAATATATCCTTAAATCTATGAAATGAGCAGCATAATAGTTATGTAAGAAGTCTTAGGGTCATATTCTTGTCCTCTTGTACTATAGACCTCAAGAAAAACTTCTAAAAGAAATGGTTAATACAAAGTATCTTTCTCAAGAATGTCCAGGTTGGCTAGGGGCCTGTAGCTCAAGTGGCTAGGTTGCCAGCCACATACACCAGAGCTGGCAGGTTTGAATCCAGCCCGGGCCCGCCAAACAACAATGACAACTACAAACAAAAAATAGCGCTAAGGCGCCAGCCACATACACCTAAGGTGGCGGGTTTGAATCCAGCCTGGCCTGCCAAAACAATGACGGCTGCAACCAAAAAATAGCTGGGCGTTGTGGTCGGGAGCCTGTAGTTCCAGCTACTTGGGAGGCTGAGGCAAGAGACTCGCTTGAGCCTAGGAGTTGGAGGTTGCTGTGAGCTGTGATGCCACAACACTCTACCCAGGGGGATAGCTTGAGGCGCTGTCTCAAAAAAAAAAAAAAGAAAGAAAGAAAGAAAGAAAGCCAGGCATTGTAATGGTCACCTGTAGTCCCAGCTATTTGGGAGGCTGAGGCAAGAGAATCGCTTGAGCCCAAGAGTTTGGAGAGTGCTGTGAGCTGTGGCATCACAACACTCCACCCAGGGTGACTGCTTTAGACTCTGCC